TTCCATTTATACAAGGAAACTTCCACTTCTAGTTTTCATAACTTAAGATTTATCAGTTGAAGCATGAGGGGGTACCAATGAGAAGTGTCTATTGATGTTGAAGAGCAACAATCTTGAAAAAAACTCAGAGGAGATTGCCAATGCCATCCTTAAAGGACTGTCTGAGCTGGTGGAGTGACTGCCCTGGGTGCCAGTGCCCGGGGATGCACAAGATGAAGAACACATGTTACTACCCCAACTGCCCTTGGGTGCTGTAGAACATGGGTGGCACCATAGTTAGAGCACTGGCAGCTGAGAGCTAATGCCCAGGCTTTATATGGCTCAAGCCCAAAGGTAATCAAACCACTGTTAGCTCAGAGTCTTAAAATTTTCCTATGTCTGATGTGACTGAGACTCACTCAAGATCAGCATGTCAGTATGATCCTGGTAGCCCCATCTAATGCAATCCCATGAGAGAAATACCACCTTAGTCAGTAGGTGTGGCCCATTTACCATGCTGTGCTCCTGGACTAGAAACCATCCAGGACCCTGGGGTAATCCTATCAGCTTGAGTCTCAGAGCTCTTGGGGCATCTGGTAGACCCCATGCTTGGGATAAAGAGATGGAGAGTTCCCCGCAGGGAGAGAAACAAAGACATGGGCTCAGGGCACCCTGCCTGGATAGCACTGCCAGCCCAAGCTGATCCCAATCACCAGGGAGAACACAGAAAATTTTGAAATAGGTGCTTCTAGAGACCAGAATTCACACAAGGCAAGATCCAGGCTTGGAGTGCCCTGCCCAGATGGCATGGGAAGGCACCACAAAATGCAGCTCCTCCTTGACCCCACCCCCACCCCACCCCCCAATCAGGCCTGGGAAGGAGTGCTGCCTACCTTTTACCTACAGGGTAGAGATTTACTGAGAAAGAATTCATTGACAAAATTTAAGGAAAAGAAAACACACAAGGAAAGCAAAGTTCTTCCCCTTAAGCCAAGTGAGGGTAGCTCTAAGAGAACCCCTTAGAAAAAAATGGGAGATGTATGCAAGATGCAGAGCCTGAAATCTCACACCTCAGTGAGCTCTTCAGGTGATTCTAATCCATGCTAAAGCCTGAGAACCACTAAGGAAAGGATTGCTGTGACTCACAGTTTCAAATACTTTGGTTCCCTAAGGTCATATTTCAGAGGAAGAGTTGCTGGTTTAAACTACCTTTTCCTGATGTCAATAAACATTTGAATTATTTAAATCCCCTTCCTCTGATTCCATGCTTTCATGCTTTACCAAGACAACTTCTGATTTCATTTGGCTTCTATATCACTTAAAAGGCTACAAACTGCATTTAATGAAAATTTCCAATTCAAAAGAATTAACAACAAAAAAGGTATCATCAAATAAATGAATGAATGATTGAATGATAGAATGGGGTAGCTTTCAGAGTTGGTTAACTGGGTGGCTCAATAACACCATCAAGGGCCATATTTCCTTTTTTATTCTCACCTTTGTTCTTATGTTTCCAAAATGGCTGCAGCATCCCAGGCATCACTCATAACTACAGAAGCATCCTTGTGCATATATTTTAAAGAAAATTCACAGGTGAATTCCAGAATTGTATCAGAGACCTAAGCCTAACACAATCACTGTCAAGGATATCTGAACCACCACAAATGGGTTAAAACAATTAGGAATCATTCTCTGAGCTGTGTTGGGAAGAGGCTGGCAAGTGTGAAGCAATTTGATGTAAGCCAATTTCTTCCAATAAATCTCTTATTATCCATCTCCTACTGGTTCTATGTCTCTGGTTGAAACCTGACTAGTATGCTTTATATCACAGATATTCACTAAATTAAATTTTATTAATTGTAAAGTACATTATAAATATCTTCTCTGGTAACCCCTACCTCACTTCATGATCTCATTAAAATATACATAGAAAATCCATTTCATATCTGGGTATATCATGCTGTGATATTAATTGGATATACTATGAATTAAAAAGTGATTATAATAGTTAATATGTAACTATAAAATGGGTCTTTCACCAAAAGCAAATATTCTAGGCAGGTTCCTTTCTAGCTATACATTCAATCGTTCATATGTGAAAAACACTGGATATTAGTAGACCTCAAAACATACATGACAACTAAATATGAATATCACTTTGCTTCAATTAGAAAATGGCAAATTGGTTTGCTGATATTTGATTTAAATGATTTCTGTTTTCTTTCTGGTACTGAGAGAAAATATTTTGCACATAGCTGATATGTAATAAACATCTGCTTATTATTAGAAAATTACATATTTATTTTGCATTCTATTTTGTAGAAATTCACTGATGGCAGTCAAAAAGCTATTTTTTAGAGAAGTAATTGATCAGTTTTCATTATTTTTGGATATTAACAAAGAGCAACTATTTACACTGCTACTTAATGTGTAAAGTTATATCTATTAAAGAACACTAACAATTTTTGTAAATTTTTTATTAAGTAAATTAACTTGATAACCCATTGCAGTATTCATGAATGCATTTTTCACAGAACTAGAATAAATAATTATAAATTTGTATGAAAATAACAAAGACCCAGAATAGCCAAAACAATCTTGAGAAAGCAGAACAAAGCTGGAGGTGTCACACTCCCTGATTTCAAGCTATACTACAAAGCTACAGTAATCAAAACAGTATGGTACTAGCACCAAAAAAGACACATAGATCAATGAAACAGAATAAAAAGCCCCCCAATGAATCCACATTTATATGTTCAATTAACCTACAACAAAGAAGAAAAGAATATACAATAAAAAGACAGCTTCTTCAATAAATGGTGTTGGGAAAACTGGACAGCTACATGCAAATAAAACTGGACTACTTTCTCACAGCATATACAAAAAATAAACTCAAAATGGATTAAAAACTTAAATGTAAGATTTGAAATCATAAAACTCCTAGAAGAAAACCTAGGTAGTACAATCTTTGACATTGGTCTTAGCAATACTCTTTCAGATCTGTCACCTCAGGTAAAGGAAGCAAAAGCAATAATAAACAAATGGGACTACATCAAACAAAAATCTTTTGCACAGAAAAGGGAACTATTGACAAAACAAAAAGGTGGATAACTGAATGGAAGAAAATATTTACAAAGGATATATATATTTATAAGGGGTTAATATACAAAGAACTCATATGACTCAACATCAAAAAAATATGCAACCTGCTCAAAAAATGGGCAGATGACCTAAACAGACATTTTTCAAAGATGACTTACAGATGGCCAAGAGACACATAAAAAATGCTCAACATCACTAATCATCAGAGAAATGTAAATGAAAACCACAATGAGATACCACCTCACACCTGTCAGAATGACTATCATCAAAAAGGCAACAAATGACAAGTGCTGGTGAGGATGTGGAGAAATGGGAACCCTTGTGCACTGTAGGCAGGAAGGTAAATTGGTATAGCCACAATGGAAAACATTATGAAGTTTTCTCAAAAACTTAAAAATAGAACCCACCATATGATATAACAATTTCACTTCTGGGTATTTACCAGAAGAAAACAAAAACACTAATTTAAAAAGACACATGCACCCCAATGTTTATTGTAGCATTATTTACAATAGCCAAGATATGGAAGCAATCTCAGTGAATAAAAAAAGTATATATTATATTACATATATATCTGTAATTGCTCAGCCTTTAAAAAAGTGAAAACATGCCATTTTTTTTTTATTTTGTCCACTGAAGCTTGAAATTTATTACCTTGCTTCCCCCAGCACACAAGTTAAGACAAATTTCACTACTATCCTTTGTTCCATGATGGAAATTAACAGTGTGCTCCTCTCGACTTTGACCCTTCCTTCTGCCTCTTCCTTTCCTTTTCCATAGTTTTTAAAGTGAAGCACTTTGAAATATACATTTACTGGCTATGTGAACATTTTGTGGTTAATCATTAGAGGGATCCTAGACCAATGGAGAAACCCAAACATTTCTATTTTATTCATCCATGGCATGCACTGATCCAGCAACAATTAACTGTAACTTCCTGGAAATATACAGATACTGGATGCTCTTGCAGAGTAGTTAAAAACAGAAGCTATGGATTCAGGCTCAGTTGGGTTAGAATCCTGGCTTTGCCATTTCCTAGCTTCAGGCTTCAGCTTTAAGCCCTTGGGCAAGGTACTTAACCACAGTGAGCCTTGGTTTCCCCACCTAAGATATGGGGATGATAGTACTGCCTGTAAGGATTATAAAGATTGTCTGGAGGGTTAAAGGACAGACAGTATGTGTAAAGGTTGGCAATTAGCAAGTACTTGATATGTATTAGCTGCTATTCTATCATCCCATTGGCCAAAACACTGCATATTACCACCGTTACTTGGGCATTTTCTAACAATCTAAGGGCACCCACGACTTGTACATTTATTTTAATTCTTCTATTTAACTCTCCCATGAATTACATAAGCTCGGTTATATAATAACTTTTATTATATATTCTAAAGAAGTAGTAAAGCACAATGTTCACTTACACAATTAACATGCAGTCAGCACTGGGTAACACAGAGACACAAATGTCAATAATTTTTGTTCAGAACTCATCTGCATGATACATAAAGTCTGCACTGCTGCTATGACTCTGCAGACAAGCTTTCAAAGTTGGCCTCCCCACCAGTGGCATCATAAGAGAAGCATAAATAAAACAACAGATTTCTGTGCCCATACCCCCCAAGTTCTGATTCAGAAAGTCTGAGGTAGGACCTATGAATCTCTCATTTCTGTGCCGAACATGAGACACCAGACCACTAGGAAGCTGCTGGATCTCTATTTTTGAAAGGCTCCCAGGGTGATTCTACATATGTAAAATCAGGCTCTAAAATGCTGATGCAGAGCATGATCATTTTTTGATTGGATCTGGGCGACTGAGAATAGTGAAACCACAGTTAAAGCACATGTTTTTTTTAGACCCTGAAATTACCGTTAGGTGATAGATGTTGAGCCTGACACTGGAAAGCATTTCTCCACTGTGGTCACGGCTTGAGAGAGCCATCAGCTTTCCCCAGGTCATGGATGGCCTTGTTATCCATCAGTTTCTTCTTGTCACTTGGTCTCACTGCGTTGTTCAGCATTGCTCCAACCACAGTCATCACTGGCAGAGAATGGCCGCTGGATCAAGATTCTGGTAAGGAGCCAAAGAACTTCCTAACCAACCATTCACCTGGGTGAGATTCTTGCCTATCACATAATAGAACTCCAGGCCAAAATATGGACTAACGATCAAATTTCAACTCTTCAACCCTAGCTTCCACTTCTCCCTTGACTTGCAGATATAAAAAATTGCTTGACTTGTCAGCTCCCTCAGAGGATAGCAAGTTGAAATGTTTGCACCCTCCAGCTTTTGCCAGCTCTGCAGCCTTCAGGACGTAATCTCGATCAACACGAACAAATCCCTCCGCCCCAGCTTTCTGTCTGGTGGTACCCAGGCAACAGAATACAATATCATGACCTTGAAAGGCAGAAGCGTAGTCATCCAGTTTCTCAAAGTCCAGCACTTCTGAATTCACGTTTTTAGAAACTTCCTCGTCGAAGGTGAGCTTCCTCCGGCCAGTCAGCATGACTTTGGAAAGCAGGCCCTGCTCCAGGGTTTCTTTCAAGAGCACTCTCTCGGTTTCCCCGCTGGCACCCAAAAAAAAGACGGATTTATTCTGCATCCTGAAGTCTTCCGAAGTCTCAGCAGCGCTTCTGTCTCGGCCATGCTGGAGCCGGTTCCTGGCCCCGCGTCCTCAGGCTGCAGCAGACGCAGCGTGCCATGGCCACCAGCTTGACACCGGCGCCGCCACTGCCACCGCCCGCGCTCAGGGCTGCGGGCTGGGACATCCAGCCATCCCTCCAGCCCAGCGCTTTCCTCCCCTCGCCGGCCTCTGTGAGGTCCCTCCCCTGTCCGCGCCTACCCGACTGCGTCAATCTTGGCATTTTTGACAACACAGATGGATCTAGAGGCGATCATGCTAAGTGAAATAAATCAGAGAGACGACCACAAATGTCGCACCACCTCACAGGTGAAATCTAAAAACAGGTGTTTGCCAGATTGGAGGAGGGTAGAGGAGTTGTGCAAAATAGGTAGCGGGGATTAAGAGGTACAGACTTCCAGGTATAAAATAAACCATGGGGATGTAATATAAAGCAAGGAATATGGTTAATAATAATAATATTAACCATGTTCCTTGTGAGGGGACCGATGGTCACCAGATTTATCATGGTGATCATATTGTAATCTATGTAAATGTAAAACCACTATGTAGTATACCTGAAACTAACATAACATTGTACACCCACTATATTTCAATTAAAAAAAAAAAAAGTTTTTTGGATAGGTCAACAATAATGTCCAGAGCTTGATTAAATCAGGTCACAAGCTCTACAGATTAGATGTTATCTCAAACTTGCATGGATTAATTATTTTCTTTTAAGGATCTTACACCAAGATCTGCCATAGTAGATCAAGCATTTTTAATTAACAGAAATTAAAGCAGCATCCAGTACCTACCTATGGTTTTGGAAAATTCTTTTGCTGTTTGGTTGAACTAAGATTGTTCAGATTATTTGATGGAACATATTCAAACTGGTTCTTGAGTAATTAAGCTCATCTGGAGTCTTTCTATAATACTTTGGATTAATATGATATTTGTACAAAAATTAATTTCATATTGAGAGAAGTAGAGTGTGGCACTGGGATGTTTAGTTGTTTTGTTTTTTCTTGCACAGGATGAGAGAAGGCAGAATCACCGGCTGATGGAATCTAATAATCATTTACCTAAAGCTGACTTGAACCAGATTTAGCTGTTCTTACTCTGCTCATCAAGATATAAAGCTTTGGGGCTTTGGCTACAGATCACTTCTTTAATAAATGGTTGTAATTTCAATGACTTTTGCAGTACGCGGGCCTCTCACTGTTGTGGCCTCTCCCGTTGCGGAGCACAGGCTCTGGACGTGCAGGCTCAGAGGCCATGGCTCACGTGCCCAGCCGCTCCAAGGCATGTGGGATCTTTCCAGACCAGGGCACGAACCCGTGTCCCCTGCCTCGGCAGGCGGACGCTCAACCACTGCGCCACCAAGGAAGCCCTCAATGACCTTTTCTTAAACCTCCTTATCTAATTACATGCAAAATTGCAAGATATGAAGCTTGAGATTTTTCCAATCCATGTCTTAAAACTAGAATTACTCCCACTGTGGCACAAATCAGAGTGTAGTTATGATCATTTAAAATACCAAGTTGAACAATTATTTTTATAATCTCACAATTCTGATTCCTTTCCACCCTAGACTTCTCAACATTAGTCAGGAAAACGAGAAGAAAAAGAACTGACAACATAATTTTTTCTCTTTTCTGTTTAACAAATGAAAGTAAAAAAGAAATGTAATCGAATAAATGCAATATATGCCTACTATCTTAGATACTTTTAGAAAGTTTATTCATTCATTGTTTCATCACTCATTCAAATATTTATAGAGTGCTTAATATGAACTGGCAATATTGTAGGCACTGGGGATGTTACATATACAAGAAAAATCTCTGCCATTGTAAAATGTATATAATAGTGAGTGGAGATAGAAAATAACTTGTAAGCAAAAAATATTTCAGATAAGGATAATTAACATGGACAAAATGAAACAAACTAATTCATGAAACTGCGTGTTGTCTGATGAGGTATGAGCGGGGCATGAAGAACATCTTTAATTAGAACTGTCAGCAAAAGCCAAGCTGAGGTTATGGTATTTTAATTAACATAGGGCCAATCACAAAATCAATACTATAATAATGCGTCACTGAAAAATTTTATTTAAAATCAAGTCAAATGTTTCAATGATTTTATGAAGTACATTAAAAAGCAAGTATCAAAAATGAGAGAAAACCTTTAAATTCATCTTTTTTTTTTTTTTTTAGTTTTTTAATTTTAATTTATTTTACAATGTATTAAACTATAGTTGATTTACAATATTGTGTTAGTTTCAGGTGTACACCTTCAGATTCTTTTCCATTATAGGTTATTACAAGATACTGAATACAGTTGCATGTGCCATACAGTAGATCCTTATATATCTATACTATATACAGTAGTGTGTATCTATTAATCCCATACTCCTCTATTTACAATAGCCCGGAGATGGAAACAACCTAAGTGCCCGCCGTCGGATGAATGGATAAAGAAGATGTGGCACATATATACAATGGAATATTACTCAGCCATAAAAAGAAACGAAATTGAGCTATTTGTAATGAGGTGGATAGATCTAGAGTCTGTCATACGGAGTGAAGTAAGTCAGAAAGAGAAGGACAAATACCGTATGCTAACACATATATATGGAATTTAAGAAAAAAAAATGTTATGAAGAACCTAGGGGTAAAACAGGAATAAAGACAGAGACCTACTGGAGAACAGACTTGAGGATATGGGGAGGGGGAAGGGTGAGGGGTGTTAGGGCGAGAGAGAGACATGGACATATATATACTAAATTCATCTTTATGTATGGAGAGTAGTATCAACATCGTTAAATATATTAAGTGGATAACTATTATAATTTAATAGTATAATGATATAAAAGATGATATGTTTTCCTTTTCCTTTGATTTACTTCTTTATCACACATGATGTCAAAATTATAAAATGACAAAGGCTCAAGGAGAACTGTAAGCTTATGTGTTAAAGATGGTTGACGTATCCAAAATGTTTGGAAAATATGACTTTAGGATGAGGGCTGGAATATGTAGAAATATGAATCTTTTTATTTCATAAAAATGCTATTCTTTTATTTTTTTAATTTTTAATTTTTTTATTTTTGAATTTTTGAATTTCATTTTATTTATTTTTTTATATATCAGATTCTTATTAGTGGTGTGATGAATTGGGAGATTGGAATTGTCATATATACACTAATATGTATAAAATGGATAACTACATATTCTTTTAGATCATTGATATTTGACTTTTCACAACAATATACTGACTACTGAGTTATTAAATTTTCATTGTATACTTCTCTGAGGTTGACTCAACTAGACATCTGGCTAGCTGATATTTGTAGGTTTGTAATTCTTACGAGAGAAATCACCCATTTTGTTTATTTTTTAAAATGAAAGCCATGGTAGGGCTTCCCTGGTGGCGCAGTGGTTGAGAGTCCGCCTGCGGATGCAGGGGAAACGGGTTCGTGCCCCGGTCGGGGAAGATCCCCCATGCCGCGGGGCGGCTGCGCCCGTGAGCCATGGCCGCTGAGCCTGCGCATCCGGAGTGTGCTCCGCAAATGAAAGCCATGGTAGGGCTTCCCTGGTGGCGCAGTGGTTGAGAGTCCGCCTGCGGATGCAGGGGAAACGGGTTCGTGCCCCGGTCTGGGAAGATCCCACATGCCGCGGAGCGGCTGCGCCCGTGAGCCATGGCCGCTGAGCCTGCGCATCCGGAGCCTGTGCTCCGCGATGGGAGAGGCCACAGGAGTGAGAGGCCCGCGTACTACAAAAAAAAAAAAAAAAAAATTAAAGCCATGGTAAAATGAAAGGTAATTTTCTTAATTTTAGGTGTACTTTCTATCTCAAGTATTGCTCATTTCTATTTCATTCTCTACGCAGTCTCCTTATTGATCTATCAAAAATACAATCATTGAAAAGTGTGAGCATATAAATTCCATGCTTAAAATGCTTCAAAGACTCATTATCTGGTCAGTGCTTTTCAACATGTTTCACTGATATGTTCTAAATTGTATTGGACATTGAACATATATATCAGGGTGTGGGGATCTTTTTACTGAGGTATATTTTATATTAAGTAAAGTGAACAAAATTTAAGTGTATAATTCAACACATTTAAAAAATTCTTTCACATGATAACTCAGACTCCTATCAAAATACAGAATATTTTCATCATTTGAGAAAAAACCCTTCTGCTTCTTCCCAAACTCCACACCTCTCCCCACTCTACCTGTCAAGAAGCAACCATTGTTGTGTTTCCTCGAAAGTTTCTTTGACTATAACAGAATTTCAAATCTAACTACAGAGCGTGGGGCTTCTTTTGATCAGCTAAATAGAAAAATGTTTCTTACATTTATCAATTTTTGTACATATTAGTAGCTTATTCCTTTGTTGTCTTAATTTGCTGAGAGTTATTCCGCTACCTGGATATACAAATTTTTCCTAGCCATTCTCCAGTTGATGGACATTTGGATGTTTCCTGTTTTAGCAACTGTGAATATCCCTGTTATGTTATGGACATCCTTGTGTACCTTTTTGTGTACATATGTTTTCAATTCTCTTGTTTAAATAACTAAGTATAGAATAGCTAGGTCATGTTAAAAAACAAACTGTATGTTTAACTTTAAGAGAAACTGAGAAGCTAATTTCCAAGATGACTTTAATCATTTTATTCTCCCATCACTAATGTCTACATCTATGCCAACATTGAAGGTTGATGGCCTTTTTGAAATCTAGTAAATATGTAGTAATATCTCATTGAGGTCTTATTTTGCATTTCTCTGATGACTAATGATGGTCACTTGTTCATGTGCTTATTGAGCATTTATCTTACTTTGTGAAATTTTGTGTATCTTTTGAGTAATTTTTAATTTCGTTGTGTTTTTATTATTGAATTGTAGCAGTTATATATTCTGGATACAGATTCCTTGTTAAATGAACTGTAGATATTTTCTCCCAGTCTGTAGTTTGTTTCTTCAATCCTCTATGAAAAAAAAAAAAAAATTGCCTACCTAAGGCTAAGAAGATATTTTCTTGCTTTCTTGTAGAATAAGAGAACAAACTGTTCCAGCATCATATATTTTGAAAAGACTTTAATGTCTTTATTGAGTCATTCTGGTGCCAAGTTTTAAAACAAATT